GGGGGGGGGAATCGCAATATTATGTGTCTTTGGGCGAGTCTGTATTTCTGTTTCTCCTCTATGGATACAAATGTAAGTAGATTAGATGACCACTAATGTCTCTTCCAATAGGAGAGAGGTTCTAGAGAATACCAGAGCTTGGTAAACACTATAAATTCATGACATGCACTCTATAAAACTTTAGTTATAAAGTAAGAAATACCACTTACTAATAATTAATTAAAAACTCAAAAATCACTATAAGACCTATAAGGTGCTATAAACATAAAAGTCCTTTGATCATTTAAGGGTTAATTCAATAATGAATAATTGCTAGATACAGAATTCAAGACAAACAGATATTTTCAATTTAATTTTTATATAATTTCCTTCCATATTCAGAGCAAGAAATTGTTAAGCTGCTTATTTCGTAAGAATCACATATACTGAGTCTAAATAATCCCACATTCGAAATTTGAGGACTCCAAGTTAATGCTGCTTTACTGTAATTCAGGAGTCAGCAAACCCATCTGCAAAGGACTAAGTAGTAAATGTATTTTGGGTAATCGACCCTGCCCTTATGGCACAAGAACAGTCCATGTGTACATGGATGGCTATGACTGCACTCCAATAAACCTTTACTGTATTTATAGACACTGAAAGTTTAATTTCATACCGTATTCAAGCATAAAATTTTATAATTTGTTTTCCTTTTTTTTTTCCCCAATCATTTAAAAAATGTAAACAGCATTCTTAGCTTGTGGACCATACAAAAACAGGCCGAGTGCAGGATTTAACTGGGCGCGGTTTGCCAGCCCCTGCTGTCGTTCTATATTTTGGGAAGGAACATGGTGATGTAGGAAATCCGGAATTGGCAGCTATCCCTCTGGGATTTGCGCTGTTTGGCTGGTGTTTGTTTTCCGTCTTTCTCCTAAGGGCTTCCACCACAAACCAGTTTCTCAGTCCTAGAGGCAAGGACACGGGCTTACGCATAGCTAAGGCAAGCCTGACACCTTGAGGTCGCACTGCAAGTGGCAGGCGCCTCCCTGGCTGGGAAGTATGAGTCCAGGTGGGTTGGAGGGAGGAGGGAAGGGGCAGCCCTGCTGGCTCCATCCAGCGGTGAGCCAGCCAGGAGTTGCTGCTGCTGTTGTTGTTGTTGTTGTTGTTGAAATGGGCCAGGATGGAGTCCTTCTCTCTCCACAGAAACTTCCAAAGGGCTCTCTCCAGGGGCATTTCATTCTATTAAAACAAACAAACAAAAAACAAACACAAAAAAACCTTCCAGAGCCTTTCCAACGGAGACCAGAAGCCTCCAAAGACATTCAAGACTCTCTGGTCTGCTGAAGTCTCCCACTTGTCGCCATGAATACGCATTCAGGGGGAGAGGGAGGGAAACTGGGCAGGACCACTCCATCCCATCCCTCTCAGATGCTTGCAAAGGAGAAAAAAGGAAAACCTATAGGAACCTAACTGCTACTGAAACCCAGGAGTTTTACTCTGGGAAATGGCAAAGGTGCTTTAGGAAGCAAAGGCCAATGATGGAAACGTTACAACAGGCCCGAAGCAAACAGGATTACCCATCGCCTGCCCCGGTCAACCTCCCAGGGCTGCCGCACCCCTGTGCTGGGAGAGAGTGTTGTGCTCGTTTTTGGAAAAGGGTTGAAGAGGCCATTCCTTCCATTCCCCTGCCTCTAGAAGTGTTCTGGGGGGGAAACATCTGAGACTCCAGTTATCCCTGTCTTGTAAATTATCCTAGAAAGACAGCTCGGCAGCATGCCAGGCTAGGAAGTCCACCCTTCCTTTCATTTAATTCAAGGCCATCCTTCCCTGCTTCTGAGAAAGCAGAGAGAGGTGGTTCTGTAGCCACAAAAGTACTTTCGCGGCTCTGAGAGCCGCCTCGGTGATGGTACCAAGCCCGGAAAGTTTCACGTGCGTGCTGAACCTCCATCCCTGCTGGAAGGAGTTTGATGGGCTAAGAAGAAAGGTGGACAACCTCAGCTGTCAGTGCCCCCAGCACAGGCAGGAAACTGGTGAGCAGAGAGGAGTGGCTCCGGAGCCCGTCCTCGGAGACCAGGACCCCCGAATCCAGCCTCCAGGCCTGTGCAGGTAAGGGTGCCAGGAGGCGCTGTGTTTTGTGGTCTTGAGAGAGGAGCAGAGACCACAGCATTCCCTCCTTTGTGCTTCAGTCCCCTGTTCCAGGGGGAGGTGGCAGTGTGGGACAGAAGGAATCAACTCTCACCCTGCTCGGCACCCACAGCCACCTTCCATGACGTGTAGTCACCCAGCCCGGAACTGAGCAGAGTTCCGTGGAGTTTTCAGTACCAGACCTGCAGCTCCTGGTGACCTGGTGACCTCCTGGGGAAAGGCCTGCCTTCCTTCTGGGCGACCCCACTTTGGCGCCACCCTCACTCCTGGTCATTTCCCACTGCGCTGGGTTCTGCCCTGCCGGCCCTGGCGGGGGCAGTAACAGCATCCTTGGTTCCACTGGCCTGGTGGAAACTTTTCCCTGTCCCCAGCTTGCGGTGAACATGCGGTTTTTTAGTGGGGAGCATGATTTAAATAGGACCTTTCCCATCTGTCTCCGTTGCTTCACAGCTGAAAGCTCTGGGACCTTCTCGGGAGCAGACGTCTCCTCTGCAGCCCGAGGCCCGGCGTGACTCCGCGGGGCGCCGAGCGCTGCGGCCGGGCCGAGGCGGGGCC